CCCATGGCTCTGGCCTTGCTGCTCCCAGCTCATCCCTGCAGGGCTCCAGGAGCGCCCCCCTGGGGCCCGGTGGGCAGCACATGTTCTGGCTGGGAGCCCGGGGCCCAGCCTGCTGCTCCCCCTGTTTCATGTTCTGAAAATATCCTGATGCCACTAGATAAATCCCTGGCACGGCCCCCCCGGAACACTAACGGGGGGCTAGGATAGAAGGCTATCTAACTATCCAATCATGACGGGTTTGGAGAAAGTGGGGGTCACCCAATGAAATGACTAGGCAGCAGGTATAAAACAAACACAGGGAAGTATTTGTTCACACGACACCCAGTCAACTGGTGGAACTCCTTGCCGGGGGATGTTGTGAAGGCCAAAAGTATAACTGGGTTCAAAAAAGAACTAGAGAAATTCCTGGAGGATAGGTCCATCAATGGCTATTAGCCAAGAGGAGTCGCAACTCCATGCTCTGGGTGTCCCTAAGCCTCTGACTGCCCGAAGTTGGGCCTGGACAACAGGGGATGGATCACTCAATAATTGTCCTGTTCTGTTTGTTCCCTCTGAAGCACCTGGCATTGGCCACTGTCAGAAGACAGGATACTGGGCTAGATGGATCATTGGTCTGACCCAGTCTGGCCATTCTTATGTGCCACGCGCAATGGCGGTGGCCACCCAGCTGTCTCCACAGTGAGATCCCGGTCTCTGCAGCGTCTCACCTCGCCGTACCCTGCTGGACGAGGGCCATTCCCTGTCCAAAGTCCAGTGACTGATCACAGCAGAACCACCTCCCCCAGCACAAGAGACCATCCCAGCTGAGCCTGCCAGACCCAGCTCACCCACCGCCCCGGTCTGAATTCAGAGATCCCGGCCTGGAGCTCCCCTGGAAGCCCAGGGCCAGAAATCTCCTTTGTAGCAGCACCCCACCCCCACTCCCGGCCCAATCATGGAGAAGCGCCTCTCCCTCTCCCCAGTGCCCGGGCCAGTGCTGCCTTCATCTCTGTCCTGGGGCCCATGTTAACCCTGCGTGGCTATTCCAGAGTGGGCGGCAGGGAGGCGCTTTCAGGAGCACGTCCGTGTTCTGGCTTGGGGGCAGGACCTCGCCTCTTGGCTCGCCAGCCAGGCCCGAGCGAGCCCTGGAGGCAGAGAGGCCTTTACCTCTCTGCGCTCCAGGAATAACAGTCGGGTGGCAACTTGAACCACAAGGAGGCCACGCTCCTCTTTGGCATTTGCCATGATGATGACAAATAACTCCCTTAGCTGGCACTAATAGGCTGGTATCCTTCCTCGTCTCAGAAATAGCTCTTTACTGTAGATCCTGCAGAACCTGGCTGAGATCCAGGGCCCTGATGTGCCAGCTGCTGCACAGGTAACCCACACACCTCCTGGGTGTGGTGTCTGTCCCAGCTAGTGGCACCCAGACCACTTAGAGAGATTAATGAGTCTGCTCTACACCCTTAGCTAACAGCCCGTTGGCTATTCCACATGCTCTAGAAGCTCATGCACTGAGGTCCCAGGTTTGATTCCGCCTACCAACGACTGGGGTCTGTGGGCGTTACACATAGACAGAGTGAGAGCCAGTCCCTGCCCCAGAGCCCTTACAATCTAACTAGCCACGGCAGAATATCACTGCCATTAAATAGCTGGAACTAAGGCCGGCCCAGATCCACAGAGAGATTTAGGCACCTATCTCTCATTGACTTCAGTGGGAGTTAGGCCCCTAAATACCTTTGAGGATCTGGGCCCAGGGAATAGAATAGAACGAAGATCTCCTGAGTCCCAATCCAGTGCTTTATCCACAGCCCAGTTCTCTCGCAAGCCTCTCCTGTGAACTAGCCACTAGTGCGAGGGCCGTCAGACTCCGAACCAGCGGGGAATAGCCAGGCTGCCCCCCAACGGGCCCCGTACACAGCTGACAGGGGAGTTGAGCTTCTCTGCCCAGATCTACCCCCAGCAGTTGGTGCCAGGTGTGGTTTTGTGGCCTGGGAACTCATTTCGTGGCCAGTCTGTCACAGGAGGCTGTGGGACCACGCAGTGCCCTGCCAGGGGAGCCGTGGCACCGTCAGGGGCCACAGTGATTCGCTTTGCAGGGCACAGAGTCTCTGTGCCACACAGGGCAGGTTGTGGGCTGCGCCTATGGGGACGTGGCCCCAGAGATGCCAGTTGCGCACACACTGCCCGGTTTGTTGGCAGGCTCTTGTATTCCCTGGCTGGGCTCTGGGAGGGGCTGGCTATCTCCAGTGGGGCCAGGCTGTAAGAAATTTGTGGGCTGGGATTTTGGCGGGGGGAAACCGCAATCTTAACACGCCGCAGCAGCGGGTGCTGCAAACTTGAGCAGTGCGGCCACCCTGCGCGTGACCAGGTCGCCCCGCCACACACTCAAATTCGGCCCGGCCACCCTTGCCTTGGGAAGCCAACTGGGCCACATAGCGTCTCTTCTGCCTCTGGGAGGGGGGGGGGTCACCAGGCTGCAGCTCAGGCGTGCTTATACCAGCAACGAAAGGCGGGAGAGTGAAACGACCAAGACAAGACGGCTGAGTTTGTAAGTAGTGACTGTTCAGTTTGGACACCGCTCTTTTACTGCCCTTTTGCGTGTTCTGCATTCAAAGTGGTGCAGTTATTTTTCGCTGCGTTTTGTGACACGTAACGCGAGGTGTGGAAAACGCTCCGTTGCAAGCGATGACTTGCCAGACAGCGATAGAGGGACTCGTTTGAATCCCACGAATGCGCTAGGGAGTTATTTGCATGGTTTCCCACCCCCTCTGTGTGTTTGAACAGATGCTGGGAATCCATCTGGAAAGCAGGGATCCAGTAGCAAGCCCTTGCGAGTTTGTTGGTGTGTTTGTGTATGGTACATGAATTGACCCACAACCCACAACTTAAACAAACCCCGGCCACAACTTCTGAACCCCCCAAATCGCTACTTCCTCACAGCGTTCCCCTGGGGAATCCTAGAGGGCCTCCTCACTCAGTTACTCTGTGATGTCAAGGGCATCTATTAAAGGGAACAAAGGCTTTCCCCGAGGTTCCCATTGTGGTGTTTTGAAAACGGTGTCAAAATTACAGGCTGTCACTTAAAATCCTATGTTTTTTTTCCTAGCCCGCCTTGCAGGCGAGGGGGCTCTGCAGGGAAGCCTGCAATCTGGTTTTAGAAGTCAGTCTGCAGAGAGCCAGCCTAAAGGAAGGTGGGGTGAATTGTGCCTCTCGTAGGGAGCAGCCTGCTTTGTCTCTCTCTGGTTTGGGGTTCTTGTGCGTTAGCAATCTGGATTCTAGGAAATAAAGCGAAGTGACATCGAACCCTTCCAGCTAGAGTGTTTTAATGTTTGTATCTAACTTCTCTGTGTGCTGTGAATGTAACATCATGGCCCACTGGAGAGCCGCAGAGCTCCAGAGTGAGTACCCAGCCGGTCAGGGTTGTTTGATGAGGGGCTCACACACCTTCCCTCCAGTCCAGGTGCTGTGTTGGGAACCTGCCCCCTGTCCCTGCTACTGCTCACGGAGCTCACCCGGGCTTGGGCTTAAACACCCCTCTCTGTGTCTGCACCAGGTGCTGTGAGGGGAGGGGTTTCAATGACGTGTTAATTACAACGTGTCAGTGCACACAGTTCATGTTCCTGGTGCAGCCCCAGCGCTGGGGAGATGGGAAAGGCCTGGTTTCCAAGCGCTTGGGGGGGGAAGGGGTTGGCACGGGTAGTGGTGGGGATTGCAGGAGTGGTATTTGGCGGGTGGGTGTTTAATTCGCACTCCCACGTGTAAACACAAGAAGGACTCTGGAGTCAGACTCCGTTCAGTGCACGAGGGGCAGGGAAGAGACCAGGGGCCTGGCTCTGAGTCAGTCCCGCTCCGGATTCGGAAGGGCCCATCACCACGGGATCGGGGCTGCCTGTTGCGACCGCTCCTTAACGTTGTTGCGGGTGACACCCCCACACTTTGCGCAGTGGAATGTTTTTTTCCTCAGGGAACCAACCTGCCCGGCTAAAGCACCTCCGCCCGTGGTGGCCCTGTTGGCCCCAGGATATTCGAGAGACCAGGCCGATGAGGCAGGATCTTTTCTATTCGCCAGCTCCCCAGGCAGTGAAATAGTTAACCCTGGTGCGGTTCACGCTGGCATCAGTAGGGCGCGAGTTACCACCCAGAGTCAGTTCACACCTCTCGGATGTGGCTGGCTTCCAGGACCGGCACTTGCATATTTCGGAAGTTTTCTTTGCCCCCAGCAGGGCTCCAAAGTTATTTCTCCCAACGGCAACCCCCGGTTCTTATCTAGCGCTTTGCCAAGGCGGGCGGGAGCATCATCCCCCTATTGGGGGGGGGGGGGGAAACTGAGGCACGGGGGGGAAGTGACCGGTCTAAGGTCACCCAGCAGGCTAATGACAGAGCTGGGGCTAGAACCCGGGATCGACCCCCGGCCCTGGGGACTGCCCGGCTGTCTGCTGCCCGCTTTGGCTACCCAGGGGCAGGCTGCCGGCTCTCCCCCTCCTGCCTTGCCGGGCCCTCTCCAGAGCCTGCCCGGAGCACAGGGCAGCTATTGTGCCGCTCGCCCGCTCCCGCCCCACCGCTGGCATCGTTCCCGGCTTCGTCTGCCTCCTACCTCGCTACCGGCCAAACCTGTTTGCTTTGCTGCGAAGACAGGTCCCCCGGGGAGCGGGGAGGGCGCGGCGGGGAGGGGAGAAGCCAGCGGGCAAGTCAGCGCAGCCCCGCGTTCCGCCGGTCCCTCCTCCTCCGCCGGGCTCCATGGCCCGCGCAGCGAGGGACTCAGACGCACACGCCAGCGGTGGCCCCAGGCTACCCAGAGCCAGCCCCGGCGCAGGCGGCTCCAGCAGGTGCCGGAGATGAAGCGAACAAATCTCTCGGCGCAGGGGGAGAGTCGGGGCGGCTCCAGGCTGGCGCGGGGCCGCTGAGGAGCCCTCTGCTCCCGGCGTCTCTTGTGGGCCGGGGCCGCTCGGGGGGGCTGGCCCGGGGAGCCCGGGGGAACGGCGGCGGCGGGCTGAGGATGGACCCCGGGGCTGCGGGGAGCTGCGGGGACAGCTGAGGCCGGGAGCCGGCGCGCAGATGAGGTACCGCTTCGGGCCGGTCCCTTCTCCTCCCCCCGCGCCCCCAGCCGAGAGATGGGACCCCGGGTGGGGCGGGCGCCGGGAGCGGGGGGCAGGTCTCCGTCCTTTGCTCCAGGCTGCGGCCAGTGGGCGGGTGGCGAGCGCTAGCCCCACCGAGAGGGGACGTGGGGCTGGACCGCGGGCTCCAAACAGCGCAGGGCAGCAGGAGGGGAGGGGTCCCGGGCTGGGGGCACAGACGGGAAAGGGCAGCCCCTGGGCTCAGGGAGAGGAGAGCGAAGGGGGAGCCGCGGGCCGGGCCGGGCGGTTCCAATCGGCTCCCACTCGCCTCTCCGGCAGGCCCCGGGTCCGCAGCCCTGCCCCCGGGGCGAGCCGGGAACGGGGCCCGGACCAGCTGACCCCAGAGCAGCGCTCCCCTCCCGGTCGGTGCTGATCCGGGCAGCCGCGGGAGCCATTAGCGACCCCCCCCAGGCCCGTTTCTGAGTCGGGGCTGAGCGGAGCTGGTGGGGTGGCCTCGCTAACCTCCCGCCTGCACTTTCAAACGGATACGGGCCACTTGCCGTCCTGAGCTCCCGCGCGGCTTCGCTGCGTGCCGGGGACAGCTGTGCTGTTCCACCCCAGAGGCAGCTGCAGGTGAGGGACGGACCTCTCCCGCCTCGCAGGCTCCTCTTCCCAGCTCGCCGCCCTCCCATACAACGGTCTGACTTGGTGGCAGCCCGCCCGGGACCCGGGCCAGGCTGAGCGCTTGGCAGCAGCGGGGGGAGGGGACAATGTGGCTCCTGTATCTAAGGGGACATCTAGCCTGCAATTAATCCCCCCGTGGCTGGCTCGTGTCCGCTGCCTCGGACTGCAGGGGAGACGCTGGGGCTCAGGCCGGAGCCAGAGCTCTGGGTCCCCGCCAGGTTCCACCCTTCCAATGAGGCGATTTGGGGCAGCCCCCCAGGGAGAGTCTGGAGCCCAGGGAGCCCCCCCCCCCAGCGTATAGACATGAGGCATCCAGGTCAGTGGAGGAGCTGGTGGGACCCAGGAGTTCTAGCCCTGGGCCAGTGGTTGGCATCGAACCCCTATAAGAACCCGGCCATGCTGGGCCAGATCACCGTATGCCCAGGGGGCAGCTGGATCTTTCCCCCAGCCCCGGCGCGGGTGGCAGAACTTGACAGGTCGGAAGCGCAGTGTTGCTCCCTGATTCCACTTCAAGGGAACCCGCAACTCCATTCCAGGATTTCCCTGTGTCCCACATGCTGCTGCCTGCACTAAAGCCAGCTGGGGAGGGATCCTGTGCCCAGCTGGACTATATTTTGCTTCCAATCCCCTCCCGGGAGAGAAGAAGAACCCGGGCTGGAGTTGTGTGGCCGATGGAAGAACAGGAATAGGTTGAGAGCCTTAATTCCAAGACTGGGCCCCGTGGGCACCTTAGTTCTGGGGACGTCGCCCGCTATGCCCCTCTCCTCTGTTAAATAACAGGGATCTCAGGTTGCCCAGCGCTGCCTCGTGCCCTTCTGGAACAGGGAGAACCGCTAAACTTAGCCCTCTGAAAACTGGGAAATACGAAGTTAAGGACACCCCACTCCCTCATTCACCTTAACTCTGCCCCCTGGAGCTGGCAACAGCAGCAGGGAATAGCTCAATAGGGGTGGTGCCATCAGAAGCCCCAAGGAAGGACTGGGAGAAGGCGGTTGTGTTGGGTTCCACTGATTTGAATCCCAGCATTTATTTGCATGCAGCTGCCCTGCACGGTTTGGTGCAGCGGAACAGGGGAGGGATTGGCTGGCAGGGAGCGCACATACCGGCACAGTTCCCCTAGAGATGCAACAGTAGAACCGAGCCCACGAGCCCTGCAGGACAATGCCGAGCTCCTTCCGCTTGTTGCTGCAAAACCCTGCTTCAGGTCAGAAACCCTCAAAGGCCAGGCTGACGGGCCGGGAACCTTCTGCAAGTCTGCCCCGAGCCCCAGGGCAGGGCGCACCAGGGTTTCCATTTTAACAGGGTGGAAAAGGTCTTCGGAAATGCTGCCTGTGGGGCTAGAGGATTGTTTTTAAATGCTTAGTTTGTGCCCTGCTTAATTCAAGCAGTTCTGTAGTCCTATTGTTTTATGTTCAATAGCTTGGGGGCGAGTGAGGTTTGCTAGGACTGTTTTAATAAGGGCTGGGTAAGGAACATTTTCCCAGTGTCTGACATTTCCTTTAGACCCCTTTTCCCAAGGAACAGCCCTTTGAGGGGTGTAACTGACAGGGGGCATCCCTTGGTTTGTGTAGATTGGTGTCAAACGTTGGATTTTTGCTTTCTGCATTGATTTCTCATGGGAAAAATAACTTGCTGTTGGACTGAAGCCAGAATCCTGGCACCACATTAGTCAAGGTAGGCACTGTGCCAGTCTTGACAACAGGGCTTTCTGTGACGGGTGCATTTCCTGGTGCACGGCGACCCCTTTGATCAGGCTGCCGCCGAGAGTTGCAGCTACTTGCTTTTCTTTGATCACACTCAGTCCCATTGTTCAGGAAACCCGGGATTACATTATGGGAATGATGCTGCAAGCTACTGTCTTTCATCTTCCCTTGAGTTTGACGCTCTGCTCCTTGACAATGCTGCTGCCATAAAACCGGAGTCTGTCTACGGATTTTCAGAGCATTTTGGAACATCAGCTCTTAACCTGGAAGCTTTGCTCTGAGGGCAAAACTCTGAACAGGAGCCTCTGCAGAATGCAGCCAATGTGCCCAACACCCATTCGTGAAAAGCTGGACATCAGCTAACAAAGCGTGGATGGGTCTCAGGTTTAATGACCCCAGCACGGCAGCGTGCTCTGACAGCTGGCTTTCTGCAAGTCCCCTGCCTTGCATCAGATCAGAGCCCTGGTCTTTGCTCTGTTTGGTGCCATAGTTCCACACTTTACCCCGATTCACTTCTTCAATATCGCTTCCCCAATGGGGCAGGAAGTGCCAGCACCGGCCGAGATCAGCCCTGAGCAGGCCTCAGAGTGGGGCGGGTCAGAGCCAGGGTTGGAGCCCATGTGTTAGAAGAGCTGTCACATTTGGGGAGTGTGTGATCTTTGTAGGGGGCTTGGACCTCAGGAACGCCTTACTCAGACAACCCCAAATTTGGACTACCCTCCCCGGGGCCCTGATGACGCAAACTGAGTCACCCCCCCTTCCTGCAGCACAGCGCCCCCTACCATGGTGTTGGGACACTGGCTCTGAGTCCTCGCTACTGAGTAACTTCCCGCAGCGCCCTGGCTTTTGGGTGGGGGACTCACCTCCAGGTACCGATCGCTGCCGAGTCTGGTGAGATCTGCCCCTGAGGATGGTGGGAGCTGGATAAAAAGCCTTTGCAAACTTCTGCCGTGTCGCTTGGCTCAGTCTCCCCTTCCCACCCCCTCGCTGTGCCCAGCTCCGACTTCTCTGGTGCTCCCTGAACTGCCTTCCTGATCCCTCTCTCCCCTCCTTTTCCCATCCCTCCCTCTCCTTCCCTGGGCTTTTCCCTCCTCTTCATTCTCCCCTGCTGCCGGTCCCCTTTTCACCTTCCCCTCTGACTCTCCCTCCTCTTCCTGCCCTGGCACAACCTGCCTGGCATTACATTTGGACCACACACCTGCCTCTGGGGCGGGCTCTGGCTGTGTGCCTGGGCCCAGCGCCACCACGAGACTGCTGGGGAAGCAGGTGGCGTTCCACTGCCAAGGTCTTTACTGTTCAGCGCTTTGATCCGCACCTGGCCTCTGTTCCTGGCTGGGCAGTAAACTCTACTCCAGCCTTTACCTATGACTATGGCAGGTGAAAAGTGCTCCAGCCAGCCAAGCCCGGCCCGGGGGCAGACAGGCAGCCGAGGCAGGGTTCTGGGATGAGCTTTTTGGTCTTAGCCCCGAGGCTGCACCAGTCCTGGCCTCCCCAGCCTCCTCATCCGCATCTTTTACGTTTCTCTAGCACCTTTCGTGACAGTGCCGCGGAAATGCAGCCAGGTCTGGGGTAGGGCACAGACAGCATGGTGCACAGCTTGGGGAAGGAGTCATTTTGGCCAAGGACATCTCGGCAAACCCCATGGCCTGTCCACTGCAGGGAGAGAGGACCTCGGTCTGGGGGTCTCTCCCGAAAGCTGTCCACACAGCAAACTGCTGTGAACTCCCTGTATCTCCAGGGCAGGAGGAAGGGCTGGGTCAGACATGCAGGTGTTGAAGGTCCGGGGCCAGGCACTGGTGAGTCCTAGTGAGTCACTCGCTACATCCTTGTGACCCCGTTGAAATGGGCGCTTGATCTTTGGAAGGGTTTGAACCACTGGGCTCTGTGCATGCTCCAGCGTTAACTGAACATGGAACCAGGTAGTGAAGGGGCTGGAGCTAAACATGGCCGGTTTCCACCTGTGGGCCATGCTCTGCAGAGGCTTTGGCTGGCTCAGGGCTGTCCCCGGCAGATGGGATCCCCTGTGTCACTGGGCCTCCACCCCCGAAGGGGTTGATGCCACCCTGTTCTCTAGACCGAAGTGACTCTCAGCCAGCATAAAACAGGAGGGTTTATTGAGCGTTGAACCCACCACAGGAAACTCTCAGGGCCTCAGGCCTGGCCTCCCTCAGCCCAGCACATCCCAGTCTCTCTGCATCCAGGTGGGCTCTGCCTGCTCCCCCTCTCCAGCCCAGAGCCCCCCTGCTCCCAGCTGGGCATCTGAGATCCCTGGCCCCAAGCCCCGCCTCCGTCCATTGTCTTCTCTCCAGGTAAACAGGGTTGTAAACTGGGGCCTCCTCTCCTCTGGCTGGAACCGGCTGGTTAGGTCACTGGCTCCTCACTCTGCAGCCCATTGTCCGCCCACTGGCCAGAGCCGGCTGCAACTCCTGAGCTGGGTCTCTGGGTCGGGGTCTCAGGTCACCGGTCGCTGGGGTCTCCATCCTCCAGGCCATTGGCTGGGGTCCCACGTTCCCTCTCCGGTCCTCTGTAACAACAAACTCCCTCTCCCCTCACCTCGTTAAACCAGTAACACCCAGGGACACTGAGTCCCATCCCCTCCGCATGCAAACCATTGAAACCCCACCGAAAACAAGAAAACAAACAAGAAAATCCCCCACTTCGTCATAGGGTGCAGCGGGGGAGTGGGGAGTCTCTGTACCGATTGCAGCCCGTGCCCCTGGGTCCCCCGTTCTGGGCCCAGGCTCTCCCGAGAGAGGTCACCGTGATGGGGAACAGTGCCGGGGCACAGGCGGTGGGGGAGCGCGGACACGCCAGTCCCAGCCTCTCCCAGCAGGAGGCGCTGTGGGAAATGGGGCAGGAGCACTGGCTGTGCCGGCATTCCCAGCTCCTCCAGCCCCAGCCTCTCCCAGCAGGAAGCGCTGCAGGGAAATGGGGCAAGAGCAGCAGGTCTCATGGGGGACCCGAGTGTCCTGCTCAAGCCCACATGGCCGAGGAGGGTCTCGAACCCAAGTCTGCTGCCTTGCAGGGCTACCGAGCACGTGCTGATACGTGCGGCGGACAGGCCGGGTCTTGGGAGCAGACAGGGAGTGGGGATGACGGGTGACATCTGGAGACGGGTTCTGAGATCCACTTGCAGGACAGGCAGACGGGTGCTCTGTTCCCCTTCCCCTCGGGCTGGCCAGGCCCAGGCCAGCTGGGAGAACTGGGCGGTTTAATGGTTGCTGCAGACGCTACCCTCTAATGGGGGGTGGGAGACTGATCCCATTTGGAGACACCCCTCCCCCCACTGACCCGGTTAGCTCCCCACCCGCTCCCAGCCAGACTTCGGGGGACATTTCAGGCCCTGGCGTCACCTGCCGCCTCGGAGGGGGACCTGGCCCGTGGCCTGCCCGTGCCTGACGCGGTCCCGTTGTTTCTCCCCTACAGGTCTAGGGCAGGCCGGCCCTCGGTGATGGAATACCGCCCCCGGCCGGACTTCCAGCCACACCTGACGTCGCTGCCCTACCGAGCGGGGAGCCAGCAGATGGGGATCCTCACCGTGGGTGGGCCCCAGGCCCTGGGGGACAGGCCTTGCCGAGCGAGGCACCACGTGGCCGTCTGCAAGCAGGAGAGTTTGTCCTTCGTGGAGCTCCCCAACCTCCAGCCTCCTGGTCAGGGGGACTTTAGTCTCGTCCCGTGCTCCTCGGAGGGCCGGGAGCTCCTCAGCTCCCACAGCAGCCCCATGGACGGGTGGGGAAGCCTGTACCTGAGCCCCGAAGGCTGGCCCCCCTGCCATCACAGCTACCCAGACTTCCACCCCAGCCTGGGCTGGATCCCGGACTCCGGGGTCCCCTTTGGAGGCGATGCTGCGGGCGGGGGCTCCGGGACTCGCCATGGGGCGGCGGGGATCGCTGCCCCCCAGGGACAGCAGGTGGTGGGGAACGCGGACAGCTGGCTTCACGACACCACCTTCAAGCCGCCCTCGTCTCACAGCGACTCCTCTCTCCACGACGTCGTCGGGGGGCCCACAAGCCCCCCGCTGCTGCCCGAGTCCCAGGGGCAAGGATCCCATGGGGTGGAGAAGGAGAAGCTGGCTTGTGAGTATTGCGTGCTGGGAAAAGGCTGGTCTCACGGGGAAGGCTGGACAGGAAGGGCAGGCAGAGGGGGTCTGGCCACATCTGGGGGGTGGGAGCCCTGCCCACCCTGGATGCCCCTTTGCGGGTACCACACAAGCTGGGGGTCTCTGAGAGGGGGCGTCTGGCAGGGCATGCTAGGGAGGAGGCATAGAGCTGAAGGCCAGAAGGGAACGTTTATGATCTTCCACTCTCCCCGCTGGCCATGCTCCTCCAGCGCAGGGGTGGGGCCTGTGGGGTTCGGACAGGAGCAGGGGTCTGGTCCCAGCTGTCCTGCAGTGGTGTACAAGCATGAGTGCCAACCTCAGGGTGTAGTATTAGGGCAGAACCCCCGATTGGTTGGGAGTTCAATATGTTGATTTCACCAACCAAGGATCAAGGGCAACCCCCTGTCACAGCCCTAACCGTGGAGGCCCAGCCAGTCCCCGTGGGCGCTCTGATCTGTCTTGCCACCCAGTGAGTCTGCCTTTGTGATAGATGGTCCCTTACACCAAGGATCACAGCAATATTCAGATTACTTCCTGTCCCAAAGGACCGGTCGCTTACCCCAGGTCAACAGCATGTTAGAGCCGTTTGTAGCCAATCCTGTAATAAACGATCTGAAGATTTATTCTAGAGCAGCAGTTTTCAACCGTTTCCCATTTGCGGACCCCTAACACATTTCGAATGGAGGTGCGGACCCCTTTGGGAATCGTAGACACGGTCTGCGGCCCCCTTTGGGTCTGCGGCCCACAGGCTGAAAAGCATAGAAGCAAGCTCTGTGTGTCCCTCAGGGCTAACCCAGGCGAAGCGCTGGGGATCTTTTGCTTCTGCCTAGTAAACCTTGCCCTCCTCCCCCCCAAGTCCAGGCAGCATAAAGATGCAGTTCCTTCCATTTAGGGCTTTTCATTCCCTTCCCCTCTTCTGCTCTGAGCTGCAAACTCAGCTAATGGGAGGAATTCACCCGCATGCCTCATCTTCATGGGAGGGAGAGTAAACAACAAAGTCTTTTGTCTTCTTTAATGTTCCAGGCTAGTGCACCTGGTGCGATGGGTCTTCCTTGCTGGGAAGACAACCCCTGCCGTGGGGGCCCAGCATTTCACACGACTCAGTGTCTCTCTCCTCTCTGGCCGTTTACATGGTCCCAGAGGCTCACAAGGCAAACGCTCAAATATTGCCCTACAATACGGGCTGCAGGCGTTATACGTGAGACGAACGCCGGCAGCCACGCACCAGAAAGTCAGAACGCTAAACCCACAGACACTCTAGTGCCTGTTTCCACAATCCCAATGCCCAGGTGAGCCAGGCGGCTTGCAGCTATGTAGTTATCCGTAGTCAGCGGAGGCAGGGGGACCGTGGCATGAGCTGGCACCCAGTCTGCCAGTGTCACACCAGCGTTGGAATTTACCCCCACCAGAGCCTGGATTTGGGACCCCGCCAGGGATGCCAGTTTTGGTTGGAAGTTTCATTGCATGACATAATCTTGAATTCCTGGGGACTCCAGGAGGGAACTGTAGCCCCTATGGGGCATGTGTGACGATGCGGTTCTGGCGGGACCCAACTGAGAGTGCCAATTCAGGACAAATTGCTAACACAGGGCAGTTACAGCCCAAGGCTGGGGTTTCTCCACCTCTAAGGCAAACCAAACCAGCCAGACTAAGAGGACTTTGGTTTCACCCCACTGGCTAACCACAAGTCACACAAACAATTCCCTTAGACACTCCAGTTTCCCAGTATCACCACCAGGGCCACTCGTTATGGGGACAAATGGTTATGAAAACCAATACCCCAATATACACAAAAAAGGTTCTCTCGATCCCAAAGGACCAAGCCCCAGACCCAGGTCAATATACAAATCAGATCTTTCCCACAAATCACGCTGTTGCCAATCCTTTAGAATCTAAAATCTAAAGGTTTATTCATAAAAGGAAAAAGATAGAGATGAGAGTTAGAATTGGTTAAATGGAATCAATTACATACAGAAATGGCAAAGTTCTTGGTTCAGGCTTGCAGCAGCGATAGAATAAACTGCAGGTTCAAATCAAGTCTCTGGAATACATCCCCCGCTGGGATGGGTCATCAGTCCTTTGTTCAGAGCTTCCGTTTGTAGCAAAGTCCCTCCAGAGGTAAGAAGCAGGATTGAAGACAAGATGGAGATGAGGCATTAGCCTTTTTATAGTTTTTTCCAGGTGTAAGAACACCTCTTTGTTCTTACTGTGGAAAATTACAGCAAAATGGAGTCTGGAGTCACATGGGCAAGTTCCTGCATACTTTGCTGAGTTACAGGGCGTATTTGCCTTCTCTCCATGGGTCAATTGTATAGCTGATGGTCCTTAATGGGCCATCAAGCAGGCTAGGCAGAGCTAACACCAACTTGTCTGGGAGGTTTCCCAGAAGCATAGCATAAGTTTGAAATACAGACAGTACAGAGCCAATATTTATAACTTCAACTACAAAATTGATACAAATATCTAGGCAGCATAATCATAACCAGCAAACCATAACCTTGTCTTAGATACCTCATTTGACCCCCTTTATACAAGATGTGGTGCCACTACAGGACTTTGGTTGCAACCATGTTCTATATGGTCCCAGATTATATCAATAACGTCACAGCATGTCATGTCAGTGATGGCAGGTGCTGAGGCGGTTTTTGAGAGGCTCCTGTGCTGAACCAGTCTCCAAACCTTTGGGCTGAGCTTAGAGTGGCCCCCTGTCCAGTTTCCCAGGGTCGGCCCTGGTTTGAGGTACCTGCCCCGGTAAATCTGTCAGGGTGCCCAGTCCCCACGGCCAGGCCAGTTTTACGGGCTCAGGATCATCCCAGATGCCCTGCTGTTCTGTACCCCAGAAGTGGCAACCCCGGCTCCTGCGTTCCATGCCACACCCGTGCCAGGAGAGCGCCGCAGCGTGGGCACGGCAACCCCCTGTCAGGAAACGACGGACCACGGAGCCCATCAGCCCCAAGAGAGCAGCAACGCACTGCACCGGATGCTGCAAAGCATTCTGGGATAGCATTTCTGCAAAAATAGCAAGCCCTCCAAGGGGCCCCGGAGGCATCGGCCAGGCCGTGTTTGCAGGGACCGGACAAGAGGAGCTCAGTGAGCCGCAGTCCAAGCACTAGCCGGCAATAGGTCATTTGGGGGGCACCAGCTCGCATATCCCCTTGTCCTGGTCACACGTGGCACTCTGCAATAGCCCCCCTTGGATAGCGCCCTCTGGGATCATAGGAAGGCAGCCGATCCTGGAAAATGCTGTTTGGTTATTTACTGGGCAGCGTCTGGTTTCTGACAGGCAGGACGGCCCAGTGGTTTTAGGGCCCTCGCCTGGGAGCCCCGGGGGTTCAGCTGGAACCCAGTTAGCAGTGCCATTGACGAGGCAGGAACCGGAATGAAATCCAGCTCCCTGGCCTGGCGCAGGGCTGCGCCGGGAGCAGCCTCCAGTGCCCTCTCCCCAGGCCGAGCCGGCTCCTGCGCGTGCGACAGGAGCAGAGGGCAGCACACACCTCTCGGGAGACAGCACCTGTGACAAACAGCTGGGCAGACGCCACTGTCTGCCATCTGCTCCCGCTGCCCAGGGGGGAACGCGGCTGCAGGTGAAATCCAGCCGGCTAAGTGCACATCACACCATGGGGGACACAGTCCTGCCGTGCCAGGGTCCGAGGTCCGGCTCCTCAAAGGGCTTAGGTGCCTAACTCCCATGGGCCCAACTAATTCCATCTGGAGACACGTCCGCAAACAGTACCGTGCAGACACGAGCCCACGGCTTGGTTTGCTGGTGCAACTGCACGTTGGCTGCTCACGCTGCACCCAGAGGGAGGACGGCCTGGCGGCTGGGAGTCAGGAGGCCCAGATTCTATTTCAGGATCAGCCATTGGCTTCCTCTGTGCCTCAGTTTCCCCCTCTGGAGAACAGGGAATATCCCGTCTCACAATGGGGTGGGGGAGGGGCAGCTGTGGGGCTTGATTCGCTGCGACCCCCTGGCCAGAAGCTGCTGTAAAGGTCAGGCATTGTTGTGAAAACAGGTAGGGGCAGGTAGAGACGGGCTCAGCATTCTGGGGTCCCGGGGGTGGAAGGTTATGCACATGCCTTGTGTGTGTCGTGTCCCCTTCTGGTGATTAATCCACAGAGAGGATAATAGCCTTCTGCTGCTGCCAGCAGGTGGAGCTCCTCCTTCAGCTCGAGTGGCAGAGGTCTGTGCTAGCACTCCTGGGCTTAAGCCCTACTGGTGCCCCGTGTGGCGGTAGCACCGTGAGGCTGGAAAAGCTCCCAGGGTGGCAGGCCCTCAGTTCCAGGGGATGGAGCAGCCCCATGAGCTGTCTTCCCTGGGCAGCTCCACTCTGTTGGGCCCAAGCAGCCCTGCTCCCACATGCCCCACTTCCCTGCTAGCTGGGGCCTAATCATCACCGTGGCTCCTCTCTCCTTCCAGGGAGAAAGATCAGGGTCTACTCCCCCGAGACTCTCAGCGACACGACCCCCAGCCTGGATGGAGACGCCGTTTTCCCAGGGTCCCCAGTCCACGAGGATGGCAGGTGTGCGGGGGAGCTCGCGCTGCGGGGGATGGAGCCGCTGGACCTGAGGCCGGCTCCTGAGGGGCCTCCCCACGCAGTGCCCGAGACCCTGGACCTGGCACTGCCCCCGTGCTCGGCTGGCCGGAGCGCCAAGGGCTCGGCAGAGCAGGAGAGGCGGCGCTTCTCGGCCTCAGAGCTCATGAACAAGCTGCAGCTGTCTCAGCGCAGGGCGACCTTCTCCCTCAAGCTGGGCAAGTCTTTCTCCGCCAGGAGCACTTCCAAGGAGAAAGGGGCTTGGGCGAGCCAGGAAGGTACTGGGATTCTCACACTGGGCTTACTGGTCAAACTGGTATGGTCGGCTTGGGGCCTCTTTCTTTCTTTCTTTCTTTCTTTCTTTCTTTCTTTCTTTCTTTCTGTTGACTCCAACGCCCTTTGCATCAGACGCTCAGTCCCGCTAGAGTGGCAGGTTAGCGGCTTTCACGCTATGGTATACAGGCCTGTGGTCCTTGGTGCCCATCCTGGGGGACCTCCCTCTCAGTCCACATTCAGTGGCGAGGTCTGGGAGTGGTGACGGTGGTCCACAAGGTCTCTTTCGTAGAGTGGTCCCCCCGAATGAAGACGGAGAACCACGTTCCTGGGAGGAGACACGGGCGGAAGGGGCACATCTGTAATGCCAGCTCCCCCCCACCCCCCACCCATGTGCTTCCTCTCGGACTGGCAGGGAAAGCGTGAGAAGGGGGTGGAGTCGCCATGGCCGTGGTGAAGAGATGGGGTGGAATCCTGGCCCGCTTTCCTTCTCTGCCCCCATCATCGCGCAGGTGCATGATGGGATTCTCCCTCTTCCCCTGAGCCGTTAGGCCTGTTCGAGGCAGGTTAGCGATGGACCAATGGAGGCAGGGCGCCCTGACACAGACGCCAGCCCAGCTCCTCCCTGATCGGCTGTGAAGCTGCCGTCCATCCTTGCAGGTAAACCGAATGGAAGGGAGCGGAGCCGCAGCAGCGCGGGCAGCGATGGCCTCCCGTCCCCAGAGTCGCCCAGCGAGCCAGGGAACGTCTGTCCCAGGTAAGGCCAGTGGGGAGCGCTCACGACCCTAGGGCGGTGTTCCCAGCCCACCAGAAGGCACAGGCGAGTGGGCAGGCCGCAGGGATCGGGACTGTCGAGAGAAGGGGGCTGGAGGAAGGTGATGCCGAATTCCTCGGAGCAGCTGGATTTCCCAGGGCATGGGCTGGCGGGGTCTGGGCTGCAAAATCAGTGATCGGTGAGTGCTGTGAACTAGACCCCAGATACCCAGCGCCGCGAACTAAACTCAGCATCCCAATGGAGAAGGGGGTGAGCCCCCCTGACATCCGCCCCATGGGCCCGAGCCCGGCCCCACAGTGTGGGGAGTGTGTCCCCCATTTCACCCACTGCAGCCCCCCAGGCACGTCTGAGCCAGGCTGGCCGCCCAGGGGAGAGGCACACGAGAGGCGTTTCTCAGCCCCTCTGTTTTCTAATCGTCTTTGCTCTCTCCTTTTTATTGATTTTTGATTTTTGTAAGATCCTAAAATAACCAGTAAATGATCCGCTCCGTGTCACCTGGCGCTAACACCTGGCCAGACAGGCAGGCTCTGACGGCCCCACCCTCCTCGCAACATGCTGCTGGCCGTGCAAGGTGCAGGTCACCCCCCTGGGGCTGGTGTGAGGCCTGTCCCAGGCGCAGGCAAGGGAGGAGCAGGGCCGTGTCCATAGGGCTGGGCGCCCGGCTGGGGCGGTGAATGTAGTGACGGCAGAGAGGCCCTGGTCCCGCTGCCACTCCTGATCGGCACTGGGGTGAGCGAGCTCAGGATCAGGCCCCATGGAGCGACTCAGCCCCCAGGCCCTGATCCTTCACCCTACAAGTCAGTGTGTGTGTGGGGGTGCAGACTCCAGCCCTCACCCCCCACCCGGTGTGTTCCCCTCTGTAGGAGCGAGGCGGAGCCGGGTGGGTGCCCGAGCGCTTTGGTCCAGCATGAGAGGCGGCAGTCGAGGTTCCTGCTGAATTGTAAGCAGCCAGTTTGCGCCCCCCCTCCGGGGGATTTCCCCTCCGCCTTTAGGAGCCCACGTCCCAGCCGTGCCGAGCCCTTTAATGCCGGGCCAGGGGTCGCGTGGCCCCCCCCCACAGCCAGCCAGTGCGCCCCTATCCTGGGCGTCTGCTGCCTGGTCCAGAGCCAGCGGGCAGCACAGGGCACAGACGCCGGAGAGATGTGCCTGCCTGAAATGGGCACAGAGGGAAGGAGCCGCTGGCCTGTGCCCCTGGCCTGGCTAGATGGCAGAGGGCAAAGCTGGGGCGGACCCTCCCCCCTGCCAGTCCCCTTCTCCCCACCCCGGCCCTTAGACCCAGGCCAGTGCCCCACCCAGGTCATGCCCGCCCGGGGTTACCCTAGGGCCCCACGAGGGGTGTCCCCTTCGCCCTGGGGATGGCGTCTCGTTCCCTGCAGAAGGGCCCCCTCGGCCCAGTGCCCGGACGCTGACCCCCCCGACCCCCGTAGCCGTCCTGTACCAGGAATACAGCGACGCCGCCATCGCCCGGGAGATCCAGCGGCAGCAGCGGGAGGACGCCCTGGCGGAGGAGGAGGAGGCCGCCTTGGCGCCGCCCAAGACCAACCTGTCGCCCAGCAGCTCGTTCCGCTCGCAGCGCTCGTCCCGCG